ACCGCGGTTTTACAAAAGCAGTGGGCCGTAGGTTTTCTCTGTAAAAGGGTTGTTTCCATGAAATAAATGTTTAGTTCCACTGTTAGCTTTCGGTCCTCTTAACACTGTTCACAAAAATAAATTGACCCTTAAAGTTGGTCATCAAAAAATGGTCGGGCAAATCTTTGACCATCTCTTGGATGAGATAACTTACAGAATGAGAGGCTCCGATGTGACACCAAGTCATATCTGGACCTTTCAGTGACCAATAGAAAGACTAATATATGACTGATCGATGAATAAGTTTAAGACTCACCTGACAGTGTTAATATGTAGAACGAACCAACTTTCTATTTTCGTCTTCTTGTTTCATGTTTTCTCTTTCTAAGTCAGCTGCATGACGACTCCCGTATCTTGCTGGGGTGATTATTACTTGTCACAATCACAAAGAGAATGACTAATATCGAAGTGGGGCGCTGACTAAATAATTCAAACATCTCTTTTTGTTTAATTGAGGGTATTGTACTGAGTCTATTTTTTCAAGATTGCAATTTTTAGAGCATTTCAGGTAATCACTATAATTTTCATTTTGAAATTCATAAAAAAAACGAGCGGCGTGCGGAGATGTGCCTTAGGTGTAGTGTTTTGTTAAGTTAGTTAAGTCTCTTGACTCTATGACAAAGGAACAGTGCGACTCTGGGATATTTCCGAAAGTAGACTACAACGTTGCTAATTAAAGGTGACTGGAGAGAATCTGACGTCGCATCAAAGCTGCATGCAATCGTTCCAACGAAATAACTGCTTGATCAACAAGGAAGATAAAAGGAGAAGATCCCCCACATTGATTAAAATTAGATGTTAAATTCTCTGTAAAAGTATAAGAGAAGTCCCCATGATAACAAAGGCGAGACATTCGAAGCACCGTGAGAGCAGGAACAAAGACCGCCCCGGTCAAGAAATCGATTGTCGATTTTTCTAAAAATTTGAGACATGTAGAACCAAATTTTACGTTTGCACGGTTTAGGAGTCAATGATTGTTTTGGTATCTACCATAGCGAAACCAAAAAAAATTATTTTTGGCCAAAAACCAACATTGGTCGAAAATTATACTCTTTTTGTCACGTTGGCTGCTCGGAGGTGAATTGCACTTGCAGTTCATTTCAATTCAATTCAAAGTAGCCAATTAGCATTATTCACCTATGTGGTATTTACAGACAATTAGTAATCTCAGCTTTTTTTTCACAAGTAACTATAACATGGATTTAACACAATGATCATTTTTCATTCTTTTATAATTATTAATTACATTGATATGAATAAGCACCAACAGTTTTTAACAAGCGTCTATGTTCCTGAAGGTGCTACACATCTAAATCAAATTAAGATTGAATGATATATAAATGAAGTATCAGGAAATGGGTGCTCATTCTACGATGGTAAAAATAGTTGGTGCAACTTGACAAATGCAATTACTGTTACTGATTTGAGCTTGAACTGATAAAAACAGGCCACGCATGGAAAGGGAAGTCCGTAAAGACGAAAGTTTGAATACTCTCTATTGGTTTCTGGTGTTAGGACGTTTTAATAGCTGATGCTGAATACCATTAATATTCTGTAAGTAGTTCTACGATTAAAAATACAAGGGGTTGACTGGTACCAAATATGTTAAACGTGGCTCCAAATTACAGCTGCTTTCTCGACAATTAATCTATGACTTTGGTATGATTTGCCATTTTCTTATAGAATGAAAATATCATGCGATTTCATTCATATTTTCCACCGAGATGATTACTAACTATTTTTTTCCTTATATACCTTTAGGTATTATTTTCAGTTCCAAATATATTTAATATATGTATGAAATGTAGTTTTCGTTGAATAGGGAGTTTGATAAACTAAGAGCTGTAGGTGCAAAGATCTGTTATCGAGACCTTCTGTACCTATCTTGAAGTGGAAAGTTTTCAGGGCGTTCACAACTTTAAGTTTTGCGAAATATCTTTACTAGACCGGCCCTGAATTCCGGCATCCTTACGGCGTACACGAGTGGATTTGCTAAGGAATTTACCCCGACTGACATATACATTGCTGAGGTAAAATAGAAATATGACCGGTTGGAAAGCGTATTTGAGATATCTTTGTTGAAATACCTCAGGGTTGTTACAACAAAAAATGGCAACCAAGACAGAAGCGAGACAAGTGTAACCCAAATTAAAGTGGCGGTTAATTTTCTATCTCTATTGGTTGCACCATGGTGCTGGGGATTGTGACCATATCGAACCTTGATAAATAACGATATGTAAGAAAAACAGATGATGGAGAGAAAAAATACATACCAAATAAGTGAGACCATGAGACTTATGCTGGTATCCCGTTTAAGATAAAAATGTAAAACAGAAAGAGATGTTTCACAGAATGGAGCCACTAACCAGGTACTGGAAATTATAACTCCATACACCCATTTCTTAGTAAAACGATGTTTGAATGGGAAAAAGGTAGCATGTAATCGTTCTAACGAAATAGCTGCAAGATTAACAAGGGAGGTGAGAGGAAAAAGATCCCTCAGAATGACTAAAACCAAAATCTTATATTCTCTCGTTTGAGCGTCATTGTGGCCCCTTGCATAACAGAAGTACCAAACTCGAATCATGGCCAAAGCAGGAACAGAGACTAATCCAACTAAGAAATCGACCATGGCCAAATTGATGACTAAGAATTTACTCCGGCGATGTAAAAGGCGCTTCTTCGTGAATACAATAATAGTGATGAGATTTAAGATGACTATTGCCAGACATTCAGAGATGAGCATCACCAACAGTGTAGTACAATCTGATGTAAGAATGGCTGAACGTGTCCTTTCATAGGTGCTATTTGATGTTGTGTTGCAGGTGTTGCCGGCCATTTTGTCCCTGCAAAATGATGTTAATATCTTCAGTTAACCACCATTCTCTGGGAAAACCACAACGGGTCTTCATTTGGACTCAAAATATTTGCATTATGGAGGTGTTTTTTAACAGTTTTGTTCCCAGGATCGTTTGAAAATGCGAGTGGGATGGAATGGAATATGGATTTTCCTCCGTATTAACACTTTGGTCAAAATCATTACAATTTCCTCGAATGTTATTGGTGCATCAGCTGCTTTATATATCACTTATCTCTCCGTACAATTGTAATCGGATGGTGCAATCGGGCAGTTGGCTGTAATCAGACACCTGTAATCGGATAGTTGAAGCAGCCAATCATACTAAGTCCACTCAGCTAAATCACACCAATCACAGAATTGATCACAATAACCATAGCAACAACCTCTTACCCTGAAAAAAAAAACTAGGAAATTTACCAATTTTTTGCTTTAGACATTGTCTCTACGTACTAAAGATGTTGGTCTTAAATACATTCACTTTTTTTTTCGGAAATTGTAATGGTTATGATTAATTGGTAACAGGACTCGTCCAATTCTGTCTAGTGATTAACAAATCGGACTCTTGCTTCAGATCTTGTGAGATAAAGAGTTTAAAAGAGCTTAGATCTTCCTCTTCATTTTGTCAGCAGATATTTTTTCCATTACCACAAACATGTTATGCTTATGCATAAATAAACCGACAGAAAATATGCATGATTGCGAAATGTGTGTGGCAAAGTTAACAAAAGGATATCTTAGTTCAAAAATAGGAAAATAATGATCGCATAAATGTTAGTCAAAGAGTATTTCAACTGGTAAAAAATAAAATGCTGGAAACATGTTTGGTTTGATTGATAGTAAGTTGCACGAAGAAATGCACAGTATGTCGTGTTAATTAGCAGAGAAATGCGAATGCATTAACCTTGGTCGGGCGTTTCCAATATATTCTATTTTCCCGTTCTTTAGTTTTCAAATCAACAATATTGTCGTCCTCTTCCAGGGGCTACATGAATTTATTGGGCTGTTGCACCTACATGGAAAACAACGGGTGGAAGAGATTTTTCAAATTTGTTCGTTCAGCTTCACGATAGCTGCTAAACAATTGCATCCAGATGGTGAACTAACATCAAAATAGATTTGTTCAATATATTTGTAACAAGAGCAGAACAAAATGAAAACGTCTCCTCTGTTTCGCATCTTCTGCTCTTAAGTAAAGCGAAATCATGGTTGATGTTTAAGGGTCTGTATGCCTGTGTAACCTCTTTGAGGAGCCCAATAATCTCTCTGGCCTTTTTTCTTTACAGTTGGTAATACTCCTAAGCAACTGCCTCATTCCTTTGAAAAGCAGCAAATAGGTTATGGGGTCGATCCCTTGAATTTTCTCGAATATGTTAGCACTATTTATATTAATGTATTAGTTTCCTCAAATCTAAGGTTTTCCACTCTTCTTAGCCCAAACGTTCAATAAAGTAACTCACAGAAATCCTCGAATCAAAATAAGTTGGAAAGTAGCTGCTCTCGAGTATCACAAGATTGGGTTTTGGAGATCGTGCAAACAGAGCGGCGTGCTGGTTTGTGTAACTGTTGTTGTTACTAGCACGATTTTCAAGGTAATTCGCATCGTGCTTGTAGATATTACAACAAAAGCTGACAAGCTGGAAACAGCTGATAGACGCTCTGTTGGGAGGATTGACAAAAATATCATGTACCGATACATAAGTATTAGTTTTCACATTAATTATTGCACTATAAGCCGAGTTAAACGGCCTTACTGTCCGTCAAATCACAAGCAAGTCATCCGTCTACGGAGACAAATGGGTAATTGATGTTGCAGTGGCCAAACTATGAGACAGTATTTGATAATTATCTTTGTTTTCATAGGTAATCTTATCTGCTCCATGTCAAGTTTAGAACAAAAGCTGCCAAATTGTTTTGCGAATCGTTTGCGTCTGTTGTGAATTGAAGTGTTGAATACTCAAAGGAGGCCTAAACCAGAACGTTCCTTTCCAATAATCTTCTTTCTTTTAATAATTCAACCGATTGGTTCCTGAAGCGTTTTACACTCTTGAAACACTACTAACTACCAGGCTCAGAGTAGATGATTTATTTCTTAACTCTTGGAACATGGGTATACATTTGAGTAGCTACGAATTTGATGATAAAATTTCAGCTGGCGTAAATACAATGGCTTATTTGCGCACTCATAAATAAGGCCGAAATCAAAGCCGTAGGGTTAACATTATGCAAATAGCAAGCTAGTCAGTAAGTAATGGCTACATCGTCGAATAACTTAAGACTTTAATATTGTCTCATAACTGATCATTAGACCAGTTTCAGCTTCGAGACTTTGGATTCCAGCTGGTCAAATTGTTCCAATGCTTGACGAAGAAGAACTCGCGTTGTTTCAAGATCGGCACGTATTGTATCTCCTTTGGTTGTCATTCCCCAGCTATCATCCATGGCTGCTGCTAGAGGGAATGAAAAAGGATGTTGGCATTTTTGAATATGAGAATGGCGTGTATTTAAACTCATTCCGCTGTTCAAATATAACTCAGGGAACTTCGAAGTGATATCGTATCCAAGCATGCCGGTTCACCAGGTTTGAGAAATTTCAATGAACGATGATGATGATTAAATGAACGACTCTATTGAGGCTCTGAACCACTATATTTCTTTCCTCATCCCGAGCTTTGGCAGATCTGCTATTTCGTCAGTGGCCCAAGCCCTCGATCGAATCGTCAGTCGGTCAATAAACGTGCTACTGTAAGACAACTTCAAACAATAATAAAAAGGATAATAAAAATGATAATATTAAATCCATAATAATACTAATAAAAGTAATAATAAACAGACTCATTAGGATAATCGATTGAGAACTTATCTATCATAAATAATGCTATGGATACTTACCTATTACGATATTTTGCTTCCCTTTTCCTTTCTTTCTCAATAATATGTCCCACGCAAGTCCAATAAGAAGCATTAGAACCAAGAGTCCAAGTGATATATACATCAAGTACTTAACAAATGGTGAGGAACCATCAAACAGATTGAAGCTTTTTGAAGACGTCTGGTGCTCAAACTAAATAAAAATGGAAAACAAGTACATAGAATAATGACTGTAAATATAAGAAAATCATATATGTGCACTGCGGTTGAAGAAACGATTTGAACTCATGACCTCTGCGATACCGTTGATAGAGCGCTGCACCGGTATCGCAAAGGTCATGGGTTCAAATCCCCCGCGGGCCTGAATTTTTTCAGGCCTTATTTCAACTATTAGTTCAGTAGTGTTCATAACTGCGAGGATCGCTTCTATTTAAGTACATGTAATTTGTACATTTCTATATTTCACCATATACATTTTAAGCTGTAACGCCAAAACCTCTTTTATATGTAGAGATACAACTCCAAGATGATCCAGTGAAGCACTTGTCATAGTCAATAGAGATGATATGTTGAAAATCCGATAGATTTTCTATGTTTTACGTTTCAAGAAGATTTTTAAGCACCTGACCATTCGTATTAACTAACCGGCGTATGGAAATTTCCCATTGTTCCAATGGGAACTCACAAATATGACTTTCACGAGTTCTTGGAGCTCTCAAACTAGATAACAGCACCGTTATTTTCATCCTTTTTTTTTTTCTTTTTTGCTGCCTTGCCTTACTTTGAACCTCTTTCCATTAGGTTAAATGGGACAATGTCATATCAAACCTCTGTTTCCACTCTTCCAGGGTACACAGAAATTAAGAGACTAACGCACCAGAACCTTCCTAAATGTAAAAGCGATTAGATTAGACGGAGTTGTCTGCAGTTTTTTTTTGCCCCACATTTTATAGGCGGGACTGAAACGCCCTAGCTCCCTCTAATGAACAACTAAAATGCGGGAAGTCCTTGATGTGACAAGGTTAATTAAACATATGTGCACTTTTTTTTGTTGTTTAAGTATGTCATTTTTCAATTGATACGAAAGAACTTGTAGACTGAGACGATTAAACAAAAGAGAGATGTTTTACCTTTCATGCACGTGTACGTGAAAGATACTTTTAAACTGTAGAGTAACGTTGCGTTATAGAAACATTACGTTAGACTAGGTACCTCGTAAAACGAAGTCAAGGTTTGCATTGATCTCCAAATGGCGGAGCGATGGTAGTTTTGTAGGCATTCAGCAAGTTCTCGTTTGTTCTCATTGAATAGAACTCCTACGTCCCTCTGCAAGTCTAACTTCTTCACAGCGAGAAGAGTTTTCAGTTTGTCCCTTTTCTGGTAATAGGAGGCTGTATAGCGATCTAGTAACATTCCCTTGACCTCTTTTGATTTGAGTGCATCGACAGCGTCATCGATGTTGTTGTAGACTGAGAAAATAAAACAAACAAAACCAATAACGAGAAAACATATCAGACAGACACACACACACACACCAAATGGTTTACTATTGTGTTATATCTTCCCCTTTCCTTAGTTCACAATACTCTCAGTTTGTACATGCATTCATTACTTTTTGGATGTGCGTCTTCTTTCAGTGCATGTTGATATTCTGTTCCATTACCTATCACTCCAACCTGAAAAAATGTTAAAACATAATTATGTTAAAACAGAATTATGTTCAGAACATAATTATCTTTAGTTCAATGTTCAATGTTCAATTATGAGAAGTTACTGAAGGACAACTTGGGCAAACTCCTAAAAAATTGGTAAATCGAGAAGAGTCTTTTTCTCGCCCATGCCAAGTGATATGAAGCCCTCAGGGAAATTTTCGTACCGTGCCTTCCAGGTTTACGGAAAGGACAAAACTTCTGTCTGCCAAAGATACCACTTAATAAAAAGATTGGGAGTATGTAAAGATAATAACTAATCTTTTATTCGCACGATAAAAGATTTCATTTACAGATAGAATTTTCGCGGAATGAATTAGTGTCATTCAGTAGAATAACAATTATACTGCTTTAAATAAATTAACGCTACCTCCGGTAAAAAGATAATTAAAGAATAATATTGCCAATTACTGGAACATTCTATGTTAGTCATAAGGAATATTTTGACCCGTATTATTATTGGTAACTAAACAAACGAAAGAGTTAACTTCTATTGATTGATATTTTTCAAACTAACTTGAACACCACGAAGGCTGGTTGGTTCAAGTTGCAGGGAGAGAGCTGTCAATGCAGTGGTGACATTTGCCATGAAAATTGCCATAGCTATGAGGCCAAATAAGATCCAGACGACAGAGAAAATACGAGCCATGGCCGACTTGGGTGCCTTGTCTCCATACCTTGCGAGATAAAAAGATACAAAAGAAAAGAGGAATCAGCGATGATTTTATTTGCACTCGTAGGACGATGTCCTGGTTAGAAAACAAACCTATGGAGCTTAACCACGAAAGAGCATAAAACACACGGACCAGTCTGCAATTGTACTATGACAGAGAACGAAACTACCACTTTCTGACCATTGAACAGCTTACCCTACAGTGGTCATAGAAATAAAGGACCACCAAAATCCATCCCATGAGCCTCTGATGAATGAACGTGGAAATTCTTCACCATTCCAGTATGTATCCTAGTAAAACAAAAAAAGTTACGTATGAAGTTTTTCCTCTTTTTCCACTCTCATCTCTTGTAGTTATAAGAATGTCATTTCTACCTTTTTTCAAACATTGAGCACTGCAAATGATCATTTTATACCATCTGATTGTTAATGGAAGAGTAGGCAAGATTATATTCCGTTCTGTTGACTACCTTAAAGAGGAACATTAGAAGAGATCACGGCTGCTTAAAATACGATTTGGGATCAACTAAGAGCGCTTTGTCGGCGGCATCTGCTTTCATTTTTGTTAGTCTAAAAAACCCCTGAAGTTTCTTAACAGAGACTGACTTGTTAGGATAAATGGATATGTGTGAGCATTTTGATGTTGCAACCATGCATTCAAATTTATCTTGGAGGACAGCTGTAGTTGTGACCTTAATCTTACCAGTGCCAACATGATGATTCCAGCAATGGCCGTGAAGATCATGGTGACGGCAAGCAATGGCCAAGACTTCAATACAGAATCAAAAACGACATCAAGAGCGTCGTTGTTTTCATCGTCAGCCAAAGTTATGTATTCCGTTCCAGGATAATCCAGTAATTTAAAAAAGATAAATTCAGAGTACTTTTGATTGTCTTGTTGTTCAAATATAGGAATTGCTAAATGGACTTTGTTTTGCTTCAGCAATTGTATCATTTGAGACTCACTATCAGCTTTGAGAGTCTTTATTTCATAGTGGGGATTGCCAGAGAATCCGCTACAATCCCATTGTATGTGTCTTAATATGGCATCTCGTACTATTCCATGAGCTTGATTGTCCAAGGAACTGTTATCGGGTCCTCTTATGTAGGGAGGCTTGTATATCCAGGCAATGGTTAGGTTTTCCTCCTTTTCATGATCATCATTATCATCAGATTCGGATGAGTTTGATCTAGCTGAAGTCACTCGGAATTTAAAAGCAACGAGACCAATGAAAAGAGCCAACAATAACTTAAACCAAGTCGCCATTATTTTTCTCTGCCAGGGAATTGAGCAAAGAAATCCATCAATCAATTAATCAACAACACCAAACGAGCAAGTCGATCAGTCTGTCAGTCAGTTGCTCAGTCAGTTGGTCAACCCGTCAATCGGTCTGTCAGTTGTTCAGTTAGTCAGTCGTTTTGACGGTCAAAGGTAAGTCTGTTGGTCAGTAGGTCCGTCGGTTGGTCAGTCAGCCAGTCGATCCGTCGGTCATTCAGTTGGTCAGTTCGAAGGCAGACAATCAGTCAGTAGGGGCTAGTCAGTCAGTTGATCGGTAGGTCAGTCATACAGTCGCTCAGTGGGTCAGTTTTTGAGGCAGACAGTCAGTCAGTCGGTTAGTTAGTCAATCGATCGGTAGGCAGTCATTCAGTCGGTCAGTCAGTCTGGTGGTCAGTCGGTCCGTCGGTCAGTTAGTCAGTTAGTCGATGAGTCGGTCAGTCAGTCATTTGATCTGTCGGTTGGTCAGTCTGTCAGTCGTTCAGTCAGTCGGTCAGGCAGTCTGTCAGTCAGTCATACAGTCAGTCGTTCATTCGATTGGTCTGTTAGTCAGTAAGTCAATCTGCTAATCGTAACAGATTTATTCTTGATAAACAGGAAAGAGAAAGAGGATTTGGCGGCGGCCTCATGTCGCAACATTGACTTTCCGCTGTTCCTAATTAAAAGATACTTGCATAATTTCTTTTTGAAAAAATACTTGCATAATTTCTCTTTTAAAAGATGCTTGCATAATTCCTCTTTACATAGATACATGCAAAATTTCTCTATGAAAAGATACTTGCATAATTCCTCTTTATAACGATACTTGCATAATTTCTCTATGAAAAGATGCTTGTATAATTTCGCTTGGAATTGATATTTCAAGCCATTCGATCAGTGTTAACAAGAAAAGAGATACTGCTTAATTTGTCTTATGGAAAGAAAAGTTTATTTAGATTGAGGTCGTGATATTGGATCTAGAGAGGTTTCTTTCGATTTATTTAGTTCGTATTTGTGTGTGAGGCTTTGTTAAACTTGTACACAGCGAGACAGGCAGCTTTATCTGAATACACGGATTGTAGTACCTTAAACATTTTCACGTCCCTTTTGACAAAGTGTTAAATCGGACACTTTTTAAGATAAGGCAATCATTTCCTATTTTTTTGTCGCAAAATGTATCAAAGTTTCGTTGTAGTTTTGAATGCGAGTTATCCAAAAAAATTATGTCATCGTTGAAAGCTTGATTGACATGCTCAACGTCTTTTTCTGAAATCATTTGAAACACAATTTACTTTTTGGATGTTAGAGTAAATTACCTTGGCAGACGAAATCTTTAGAATATGAAAGTTACTGCAGCTCTTGTTTCGTCGATATTAAATATTGAAAGTTTCATATTGAAATGGCTCAGTGAGACAGTGGCAGTTTTCAACTAATTTGCATTTTGGACAAATTAGTTAGGACAGCTTTAACACAAGAAATAAGAAAAGGAAAATATAAGTAAATTGAAATAATTTTCGTGGACGTGCTCTGTGTATGACTTTTTTATTCTAAACTTTAAACGTTTTTAAAACCGGTTAGCTAGAGAATTATTCAACTGTGTCAATGAATTTCGTGACAATTGACTTCTTTTCCTCCGTGCTTTTGCAAACACTTCATCATTATGTAAGGGGTGACTCTTACTTTGTTGGTCTGTTTATGCTTTCTAAACAATAAAGGCATTTAATACTTTTTTTTATTTTCATTTTCTAAATGTCGTCAAACCCCAAAATGACTACGTTATGAGGTCTCAAGAAAATTAGAATCGGAGCGAATTCAAAATTAACTCATCTTGTGTTAAAACAGTGGCTATGGGAGAAAGTTTTTGACCTGGTCAGATAAGCTTTCTTCCCGTTGTATCATTTTTCAGTACCTTATCTTAGCTTCAAGCTGATTCAGTGATAGAGAAGACAACGGCTAATTTTTTTTATTTTACAGAGTCATTTATCCTCTTTACTAGACTCGACTCAGCAGAAAACAATTTAAATACATTCATGGAAAGCCGAGGTCAAGAGCGTAACTCAAACTGTGTACCGTTTTAACAGCTATCATAGAACATGTAACACTACATGTAAAATATTCATTCTCTCTACTTCTGTGAAACAGGCGAATCTGTACGTAAATTTTGCAAAAAATTAAGGTTTGGGCGAGTTTGCTGTACAGTAGATCCATACCTTTTCGGAAATGACTAGAATCCTTCTGGATTGTGTCCAAAGATACACGAGAATATTTAATTAATGGTACCTGTGCAGTTATATGTAAATAAATTTTGCAGATGTGCCGATTTTAAAAATTACCTGTTTCACTGTTCTTTGGTTTCAAGACACAGGCTCTCAAGCCACACGCTGCTATTCACTGCATGGAGTAAGCGACACGGGGTTTCACTGTATGTGTTCTTTGACTTCGAAAACAAGGCTTTTCTGCACATTAATTATCCAATTATGGAAGACCAATTGCCAGATCAAGAAATCATAATATTAGAAAATCCATATAGGCCCATGTTGGTATTAATGATGAACTTTCCAAATCAATTTTGCTCGTAGTCACTGCCACGGTGAACAAAATGTTGTCACTCGGCCAGGCTTATCATTCTTTGAGAAAGTGTGGAATTATATTGCGAGAAAGAAATAAAGCAACGCAGAAAAAAGTAAAACAAATAAACTGAAAAAATCAAAACAGGACAAAAACAAGAAATAGGAAATTTTGTATTAGTTCTAAAAATCATTAGCATTTAATTCATATTCGGTTTAATGACTTTGAGCAGATATTCATTTCTTTTTTCTTTTTTCCACTAAGTGTTATGTGAACATAAATATATTCGTATTTTACGTAATTTCCATTCTATTGTGCAAGGAGTAATAGATAAACGCAGTTGCTTGTGTATAGGATAGTAGCCAAGTGTGTTTTTAATCTCGCTAAGTCACCTCTACGGTCGAATTGGCCTCCAGTTAAAATTATCAACCATTCCCTCTTCGCAAGGCCTTATGGTAGTCTCGTCGCTGCCGCTGGATGCACGCAGCTGGACTACCTGAACTATTGAACTAATGAAACGACAAAATTCAATGCATTTTAACTAAGTAAGAACTTAACAAAGACTTTGTTGTTTACTATTGAACCGATTATGAGAGACAACGATGAAATAATAAGCTACGTTAGGTTTTTTAATATGAAAAAAGGGGTGAAAAAATTATTGAAGAAAAAGGCTAAATTTTGGACTAATACAAGAATTTGAAAACTTCAAAGAGATCCGGCGATAATTTGCATTCGCTAAGTTCTTAATTTCAGTGAAAGTAATAAGATATCTGTAAGTTAACGTGAGAATAGATAACTTCACCCCAAGCCAAAATGTGAAGATGCAGATTGATAGATATAATGAGGATTAGTTTAAAGGAAGTTGAGCAAGAAGCTGGGGAAGAGCCAGAAAAATTCAGTTAGCAAATGACGAAATCATACACGATAGCTATTTTCCAGTACGATTGCTTTAACATACAAGCTCACTTCATTTCAGAAATTTCCATCAAGTTGCAATAGATAGGTAGATAATGCTGTCCTAACTTTATCCTCTTACACAGATGTTAAATATTATCTGCCTTTGGAGTGAAATCCGTACATACATAGATATGCAATCTAGATATTTTTTGAACCTGTACACGTGTTGCATGATTCATAACTTGCAAATCCCACTGAACGCACCGTTTACTGGTTATCCCGAATTTTTGAAACCTTTGATTCCAGTGTTGTAAAGTGATCTTGCATTTGTTTAAGAAGTCTTTTGGCTACTTCAAAGTCGTTGAGAATACTTTCTCTCTCAGTTAACGCCATTCCTTTGTTTTCAGCTTCTGTTAAATGAATGAAGTTGGATTATTTCATAATGCCACATAACCACATCAATGGAGAAGGCCCGCCGTTGGAATCGAACTGAATACAATGTTGAATAGAAAAAAAACATGCAAAAATGAGAAAAAATAATTAGATAAATTTGTGGATGACGTGAATGAATCGAATGAATGGATGGATGGATATAAGGATGAATGAGTAGATTAATGAAGGGATGGCTGATTGAAAAAGTGAATAATTGTATAAATGACTGAATCACTTAATCCGTAATGACTGATGTGGGGTTGAAAGGATAGATTCGTAAACTTAAGTAAAATGAAAAGACCGATGGATAAATGGATAGATGAATGAATTACAGGCAGACGATACTATTCACAACACGATAAACAAATGGACACCGTCAACAGAAAACAAGCTTACGCCACTCTATCATGGAATTTTGCTGCTTGCCAGACTTCTTCCTGATAAGTAAGTCCCATATTACTCCAATACAAAGCATTCCCGCCAATACTCCAAGCAAAATGTACAGGAGTATTTTAACAAAGCTGGAAGAATCGTCAAACAAACTGAATTGTTTGGCTGGATTACTTTTGGTGGACTGTCAAAAAAGAAAACATTCATGATTTTCTTATAAATAGATCAATTCATCATGACTCAAATCGTGCCAATCATGGGATTAAGGCAAGCGATGACAAGAAAGAAGTCATAAGGAATTAATTTCTCCTCTCCTGCATTCGAATTGGTTACTTTTGTCTAAGTGACCCGGCTAACAGAAGTTGCTGACCCTGTTAAATGTTTTTCATGTTTCACGCACAATAGCTGATAAATCAGAGATCTGAGCTCGCTGTTCAAATAATTCTCCCAACTTAAAGCTGTACCTTATATGTTGCAGTGATGGTTTGAGCCGACCTCAAAATGGTGGAACGCTGATAATTTAAGCAATCTGCCAGGTATTTTCTGTCCTTTGAAAAGAGAACCCCGACATCTCTTTGAAGTTCCAATTTCTTGACGGTGAGAAGCGTTTTCAGTTTTTCTCTTGAGTGGTAAAAGGTGTTTGCGTAGTTATCTATGAATAATCCATCGACTTTCTGGGACTGCACATCTTTAACAGCGTCTTCGATACTGTTGCGCACTAGATACAGTATGAAAAAAAAAAAAACAAAGTTTTAACACGGCAGACAGAATGCCGACCCTCGTACACTGAAGAGACTGGCATGAATTTAAAAGAAATAGTGACGAGAAATTAAATAGTGTCATCAACAATCACCTAGTGTAGCGAACTACATCAATAATTGAGATTTCCCGCAACTTTTAACTTACAGCACCAACTTCTTTCAACGACTGACTCTGGAAAGCTGGTGTGCTAACTAAGAAAAGACTCCTCAAAAATGTCAACAATCACTTTCAACATACCCAAGAATTTAATTAGTTCATTTAAAAACGAACCGAGCAGAACGACCTGACGTACCAGTCGGTTTATTACACCCAACTGACGTACAGGACTGTAGCTGTTGACTTTTGAATAGGTTGTTGAGACGTCGTTCTTAAGGCTAACGGCTCACAAGGAAAACAAGTTGACTATAATTCTTAAATTAAAGCAATTAATTGTAGCAAATGGATTGATTGAATATGAGGGTGCATACTCCGTCGACGTATCCAAGACATTTTACCCTTTTCGTGTCCAGGGTTGATGGGCCATGCTTGCAACGGGTTGCTTATTCAATTGGTAAAGCTTACACTCTGGTTTTAGAACAACTAATTGCATCCAGTGGTTATGGAATTGTACATATATACCTATTGGTTCAGCCTCCTCCTGTAGTGCATGTTGGTACTCTGTCCCATTTCCTATAACTGCAACCTGACGAAAAAAATTTTTTTATCAGACATATTATAGTTTTCTACAACACAGTTGTATAATTATAATAATAACTTTTTAGATCGTTTTTAAAAAGGACATGACGACAACGGAAAAGAAAAAGAGGACGCAGGAGAAGAATAAGAGGAATAACGGCAAGAACAGGAATGATAACATGCCACGTTTTTTTTCATCGTTTAGTAATCTATCAGCCTCACTTTCTTATTAGCAAAGCTACTTGGTTCGGTTTCCAGGGAAAGAGCCGTCAGGGCTGAAGTGACGTTCGCTGTAAAGATTGCCATAACAATCAGGCCCACGAGAATCCAAACAATGGAGAATATCCGTGCAGGAACTGATTTGGGAGATTTGTCACCATACCTGAGACGAAAGAGATCATTATCACCTAAATCTGCTTGCACACTGATCATGATAGAACATCCAAAATTAGATGGCTGGACCATGCTGAATCGGCCCGAAATAAAGATTGGACATCAACGAGGGAGGCTTCTCTGGTCCACTGTTTTGAGGTCCAATTAAAATTTGTAGTGTCCATAAATTTAAATAAAATCTCCAAAATTCATTAGGTGTTTGACAACATTTTTTGCAAAGCTAGTTATGTTACTAAAGAGGTTTACCCTACTGTGGTCATCGAAATAAAAGACCACCAAAATCCATCCCATGAGCCTTTGATGAATGAACGTGGAAACTCTTCACTATTCCAGTAAGTGTCCTGAAAAAAGTGAAGAAACAATTCTTAGTAAACAAGAAAAAAGGTGTTATATTATTAATGAAGAAATAAATACGATCAAATTTCTTAATGTGTATCCCCAAACGGTTGCTTACCCGCTGCAAGATGTGCCGGTCGCTGTTGTTGATAAAGAGGTAGAAAATGAATGATTTCAAAATATATCTTTTTTGCCGTGACACTTCCTAACCGTCTCTTAAGGACACAAAATAGTGCTCCTAAGATCAAATAATCCAAATTCAAATGCTTACTCCATACTCCACACTTTCGACAATGTTTTTCTAAGTGTGGCATTTTAGTTCTTAACTACACGAAGAACGCTTGTCACATTTTATAGTTATGAACCGGGTATAGTTATTAATATTTATAATTATGAACTGCGCATGTGGCCTAGCTCCCCGACGAGTACCCTCTAGTTAAGTCAGACAGTCTGTGGTTGAATTATTTTTGTCCTTCAATCATGATAATTGTTTCCCACCTTTCGCAGATAAAATGGGTTGTTGACGTTGGAAGATCACGTAAATCATTTTGCAAAGGTTTAAATTTATTAAGCAATAAAAAAGCAGTGCATATAGGGCGCTAGAGACTGTTTTGTTACACAAACTCAAACTTACCAAAGCCCACATAACAACTCCTGAAATGGCTGTCAGGACCAGAGTAACAGCTAGCAGTGGCCAAGACTTCAGAACGGCATCCAAAACATAGCTGATCCTGTTGTTCCCTTCTTCAGTGGTAATGTAGTCTGTTCCTGGATAATCAACGACTTTGAAAAATGGGAACTCGCTGTAGTGTCTGTCTCCTTTTGGCTCAAATATAGGAGCTGCAACGTGGACTTTGTTTTGCCTCAGAAGTGCGATCATTTCATATTCACTGTTAACTTGGCGGTCTTCTACTTGGTATTCGATGCCATGAAGAATACCGCATTCAAACGTCATGTATCGTAAAAGCGTATCTCGGATCAGTCCCTGAGCCCCGCTGTCTATAGATCCATTGGTGGGTCGAGCGACATACGGTGGTTTGGCAATCCAAGTTATTGTTAGATTTAGGTACCATTCGATCTTCGATTCGTCTTCCTCTGTAGAAGAGTTATCATTGGCTGACACAGTGATGAAATTTGCGACAACAGCTCCGATGAAGACAGCTGGAAACACCTTAGTCCAATTTTTCATTATCACCCTGATTAAAAAGACAATTGTTTTCGTTGCATTATCGAAATATTTTAGGGATGATTTTAGTCCGAAACTGAATCAAACTTTCCAGGGAATGGTTGTATTAGACCTCATATTTTTTTATCTTCTCGAAAAAAGTGAATTGATAATCGTTAAAATTATTAGAGAGTTTAAGTGGCCCGCTTCGAGAAGTTCTTTACTCTTCATCAGCTTTTTAAGATGAAAATTAAAAGAAGATATCTCGACAAAAACAATCCCTCTGAGAGAGCATAATGACGCATAAATTCAGTAAGTAAAATACGTGTCTTGAGCACAACATTCACCAAGCAAAGTAAAACTGTAAATATCCCTGGCATATGACTGTGCGCGTTAATCGCGAAGAAAAAAGAAAAAAAAGGAATGATGACGAGAAATTGTCGAAGTCAGTCGAATGCCGCAATAGTCGATCAAATTCGTACCGGGCGTACTCAACATGCAAACTTACCCAAAATTAGAGCTGAATGCTATTTTCAGAGTTAGAGTACGTCAAAGATACTTCTTTAACTGCTTCGTAGTGTGGACGTTGTCTATGTAACGCACTTGATCTGTGAAATACGGCTAGGCCATCACGAACAAATGAATGTAACTGCAATCAACGCCACTGGATGTATAATCTTAACAACTAAAACGAAGAACCCACACGTTAATTAAACATGAGAACCACCTGTCGTTAATTTGTACCTCGACTGAGAAACAAAGCACAGAATACGTTAGGTTACCACACGACCATCCTTATACCGTCAAATTGTTCAATTCAAACTGTATCTTGATTTCGATTGGCTAACACTTTGGTAGAAACTTTCGTTTTCTCGCCTTTTAATGCCTAAGTTAAATTTTGAATTAATTTTAAATTATCAATGCACTTCTTTGCTCTCTAAAGATGCCTCAGAAAAGATCCCATTTTAATGGCAGGATCAGATAAACAGCCCCAGGACACAGATTTATTTGACTCACTGTATTGATGGTATCCAGTTGTCATCAACTGGCAAAAGTTATAATATTTAGCCTAACGCATATATAATAACGGCAATATGGTTATTTATATATTTCATAGGTTTACTATTCTCACTTAGAAAAGTTGATAATTAGTAGATGTCGAGATAAAATGAAGCAAGAACTGGCATGGATTCTAAGTAAAAAATTTAAGTCTTATCAATTCGGATAGTCAGTAGTTATTGGGGGACATTCTAACTATTCTTTGCCATCGATGTATTTTATTTAAAAACGCCACTTAGTTAGAAATTCACGCCCTAAGGGTAGTTAAATAGCACATTAACATGTATTCGTATAAGGAAAGCAGTGTGTCTAATGAGTCCTCTGAATTCCTAAACAACATACATTGATCTGTTGCGGAAAGTTTTCTTCTTTAAAAGCGTTCAGTTAACACGATGAACTCCAAAGGCTAAAAATTTCAAGTTTTATATTATTTTGGCTGGAGAAAAAAAAATTCGATTTCTTTCACGAGAAGCCAATTAAAATGCAAATTTTGATGCACTCTGCCCTTAGCACATTACTGGGAAAAAATACTTTATTATACTGAACAGACTTTGGAAAATTAATTATGAGAAAGCTGGATATGAAGTCATCATCATTTAAGTCACATTTTATTTTCCTTAAAATGAAAAAAAGACCCATCTTTTCAAGGAAGAATCAATACAAAATGAAAACGACTTTGGTGAGAACTTAGCAAATATATTCATCATTTATTCATTTTATATCTCTTTTTTCGTTACGTTCCTGATGGAAGTTTTAATGTCGATTTACTTCACATGTATTTGCAAATGGTAACACTAAAAATCTAAATGGCATGCACTAGTACCGTAAGCAACTCCGGTTACTTTAAGAAAGATGGGATATCAACCTTTATCATTAAAAGAACAAACGTTTGACAAATGTACGGGAATATTTTGACCAGTGTTATTATTGGTAATTAAAAGACGAGAGAGTTAATTCTCATTGAGTGATATTTTTTCAAAGTAACTTGAACACCACGAAGGCTGGTTGGTTCAAGTTGCAGAGAGAGAGCTGTCAATGCAGTAGTGACATATGCCATGAAAATTGCCATAGCTATGAGGCCAAATAAGATCCAGACGACAGAGAA